ACACCACTAATATAAGAAGGAGAACCCTAGCAAGCAGAAACCGCATGTAAGGCCACAGGCACTGATGCCGAGAATGTCCCGAAGCCCCTCCAAAGCCTGCCGGTTCGATGATAGAGAGGGTTCATGTTAGGACCTACGGTTGAACCCATGGGCCCCTAACATGGGCCCTTAGGAGATTCTAGGGTTTCTTAAGGGTATATAGTAGGTACATTAGGGTCCCAGGGTTAAGGGCCCATACTACGGGCCCATGGGTTCTGCCTTAGATAGGACCCTGGAATCAGGGTCCGAGGTTCCTTGGTCGACAACAAAACAGCCAAACGCCTCGACGTGAAGGGGGTCTTCAGTACTAGTCTTGCCGGAAACCGCCAGACAATGTATGTATGTATGTATGTATGTATGTATGTATGTACAGTAGACATATACATACGTTCAATAGTCCTGCATGTATATATATATATATATAATATACAGAGGAAAGAGAAGGTAGGAAGGGATAAATCAAAAGGTTCATAGCGACTGAGTCCGGGCTTGTCGGTTTGGAGGATATAGCTTTGAATTGAAAATACTGAAAGCCGGAGCCTTGAGTTCTATGTGTTTTTAACTTTTGTTGATGCTTGTTTTTTTCTTTTTGTAGATCCTCGAACTTATTTTTTGATTCTTATTTAATCTTTTGTAATGCCTCAGCCTCAACCAGATGTTCTTGGTTTCGAGTTTAGGGTTCATGATTCTTGAGAGTGTGGGCTCTTCGGGTGAGTGCCAAGCTCTTCTGCCCCTAAAGTTCGAAGACTGAAGCATTCAACAAAAAGAATCGCACACATGACAGTTTGGCATGGTATCCTTGACTTGGGACAGACAACGTATGCTTTCAACCAGGCATGGACCTGTTGTGGCGCCATGCATTGCATTCGAGTCATATCTTGTCTTCAAGGTAGTCTGCTTCATTGGTCAGATAACACAAGGGAATAAAGCCTGTCACCTGTCATATAAAGCAGGTACATGAACCCTGAAGGTGCAGATGTGTAGTGCCAGTTTATGTTTCATGGCTTCAGGCAATGTGATCCCTTAAAAATCCCCTGCCTGCGAGACCCTTGACACACCCGACAGAATCCTTCTCTCGAGATTTATCATCTGAGGGTACATGTACCCATAGATACCTATATGGGAATGTCCTAAAATGAGGGGTACCTTATTTTGGGGGTCCTTATAATAAGGATCATACTATTTAGGGTACTATATTAGGGTCCCCTATTTTCGGAAACTCCCATATGTAACAGAGTATATATATATATATATACATTAGCCTTCATGTCGCCATATCGGAACGACTGTACGGCCAAAGTACGCTTGTACCTGTACACTGAACATGGCCCATGCGGATTGGGAATCGAAGTGGAGAAAGGCTGAATACATGCAAAGATGCTCTTCACCAAGAACCAAGAGCCCTTACCTTCTTCGCGCCGGGCAGCCGCAGTTTTTCCATAGCAAGTGAAGAGCAGAAGACCCCAGATGAGTCACAGAAACACCGTCATAGGAAGAGTCGGCACAGCGTCAGGACTCTGATTTTTTGATGACTAGTGCTGTGTGCCAGGGTCGGCGATGCACTCGCTTGGGCAGGAGGCCCACGGAAGCCGCCATCAACTTACTTCTGCCGCACTCAGACACCCAACACTCTCGAAGCCCAAGCCAAGACCCTGAAGCTATCTTGCACGTCAAACCCTTAAGGAGCCCAGCTAAACCCCAAACCCGCAATAGCCCACAGCCCGAGTATCCCAAAACCAGCACCCTGAGGCCAAGAAGTGTTATCGTCCCAAACCGATTAGCGCAGCTTTTTGCCTCATGGTGCAGCAGCCTACCATGATGGACTCTCATCCACGCTGATGAATGGGAGCCTTGATGGTATCGGAAGTTTTTGCTGTGCCAGTCTGTGGGTTGGGGCATGTGGGTGTTGCGGCGGGATGGAGAGTTGAGCTTGTAATTCGCATTGCCTTTGGGAGTTCCATCGGAAACTAGCCCGGGGTTTAGAACAGCCCCAGACGGCCCTTCCTAAACCCTAAACCATAGGCTTTCATGATTCGTTGGGCCAGTATCGTTACAGACCTTTCCAGGCTTTTCCGAGTGTGAATGTCAAAAAAACCGTAACAAACAGGGGGCCTTAATACTTAGAATAGGGTTTGGGGGGGGTATATTATACCATAATCATAATAAGGACCCCCCCCAAAAAAAAAATAGTAGAGGTAATTATCAAGGCCCCTATAGTAGGCTTTCATGTTGCTCAAGCCAAGGAGCCTCCTTTGGAACGCATCTCACCTGTCCGATGATTCGGTCGCAACCTGGCCTTGAGACGCCATCAACGGTGTACGTTTGGGTATTTATAAATATAAATATAAATATATATATATATATATTGATTGTGGGGGGGGGGTAGATTACTGTAACTATTGTTCTTGTTTCTTCCTTTTACTCAGTAGTCTTGGTGTTCGTTTTTGTGATGAAAACAATGCGAAGTAGTTGTTATTGTTGTCATCATTGTTGTCATTATTGGTAGCGTGTCTGTTGTGATTGTTATGCTGGGGCTATAAGGGGACACTATCATGTATGCTGTTGGGTGTAGTATGCTGGTTTTACTTTTTCAGAAAAGCGGGACTCCAAGGGTATACTATTGGTAATACCCAGCAACATGGCTCCTCAGTGTTTCTTGTAAAAGCTAAACTATGAAATAAATCGAAACCCTTTTTGGATTAGTGGTTTATTGTTTTAGTGGTTGGCCTAGGTCCACTGGGGAAGAGGATTGGCTGAATGGTTTATCGGTTTGGATGTTCCCTCTCCGTTATAAGCCACTATAAGTCTCAGCATACTGGAACATGTCACTAATGCCCATGCTAACTATCACTCAGCCCCCGTATGATCCCAAGCTACTGTATTGTGCTGCGGACTTGTAACTAACAACCTTGGCAGTGCATATTCCCAGAATAGATCCTCAGTGAGCCTAAAGTGCCTAAAGCTAGTTGTCGGGTTTGGGTTTAAGCGATAGAACCTTCTGAATCAGCCCTTTACGGAATCCTACCTCTGCCAACCCAAACCTACCTTTTTTGTTCAGGCTCCTTGTCATAATCATGGTTTCCCCACATAAACCCGTAATAGGGTAGGTTTCTTGGGCTACTGGTAGCCTATAATTATATTTGAGACCCCTATATTGCTCCGGGGTTCAAACGCGTGAGTCCCAGGCTCGTGAGAAGTCGATCCAAGCACTTTGGACGGTGTCTTGGATCCATTTGAAAGCCGGCGCTTACGGGTGTGGGGTTGAGGGCTGCTCCTGTCCCCTTTTCCCGCACCCCCTTACCCCCAAAACATATGGGCTTACTGGCTGACCCTAAACCCTAAACCTAGAGAGGTTCAGGGCTTCATCGGAGACAGTGCCCCAAACGATTGAACCGAAGCATCGCCAACATGGGTTTCGGGTGGCTGGTGCAGGCAGAGCCCTTACAACTTTAGGCTTTGAAGGTCGACTGTTTTTGGCTTCTGCCCTGTGGTGTAGTGGTCCGGATCTCGAGAAAGGACGGCAGCAGTATAGAATACTGGCTGCTGTGCGAGGTTCACACGAGCCCAGGGTGTGTGCAAGCAGGGCTGTCAGGGTGACAGGCTTGTCGAATATGGCCTGTGAAGGCCTTGCGCTTCGGCTTTCTTCTGTGTGGGATGGCTCACACACACATGCATGCAGACACACACACACACACAGACAGACAGAGAGACGAAAAGAACGGCATACGGTAGAAAGCTAGCTAGCTAGATAGGTAGATAGACAGACAGACCAAGAGGCTATACATGGGGTCTCACGGTGTGGCCTCCATCTCGACATCCGTCCATCCATGCAAAGATACATACGGAGAAAGAAAGAGAGAGAGAGAGAGAGAGACAGAGAGAGAGATACTTCCTTGCCTGGGAGCAGAGGGCTTCTAGCTTTCACACGCTGTCTCGCTGTAGAGCCGCCCGGAAGGCCAATCCCTTAACCATAGGTCTTGGACTTGCCGAGGTAGAGTGTGTTATAACATGTTATGGTCTTGTTGTGGTATAGTCTATGGTAATATCTTGTTGTAGAGTGCTGCCTGAAATCTCGAGGATGCCCAAGCGATCCTCATGCAGACCCCAATTTTGTTTAGGAACTTTCTTACGAGGACCTCTACATAAGGTACCCCTGATGTTTAGACACCTCGAAGTGCTAACCTGGTCTCTTATTTTCGTCCGATTGAGTTCTCCGGCAGGGTGAAGATTCGATTTCCTTTATCGACCTTATGAACTAGATTGTAGCCATACTGTGCACTGCTACTAATGGGCAGAAGTTCCGCATTGTCTTAAGAACTACTACTACTACTACTACTACTGATGGGCAGTATCCCTCATTGCCCGTGTCAAATCTTGCAACTATGCGATTACCCCTTGTTTCAGTTGCAAAGCCCGAACCAGACTGACACCTCCTCTTCTCTGTAAGGCATCTTCTGGTATTGTGGGTATAGCTTTTAGGGTTGAGGGTTGCGAGCCAGTTGCAAAAAAAGGTTATAGCGGCTTAGTGGTATAGCTATATCATATAGCGGTTCAGGAGTGACTTGTCAATATATCAGTCTTACATTGACGGTTTCATCCGAATGCTTGTTGTCCTCAGTTGCTCTCGTCACAGTGTTCTCATGGGACTTCCCATGACAAGTACTTCGCATGTGCTTCCTTTGAGACATTGGGCGCTGGGCGTTTGGCTCAAGCTGTCTCAGCGGAAGACTTTGCGCGAGGCCCAGAACAAATTGAGGTAATCGTGGCGGCATAATGATTAGGATAAAGTTTCGGAGTGTAGCTATCCTAGCATGATTGTAGAAAGACCATCAGGGGAGAGAAACAAGTCCCTGTCCGATGCTTATGGCCGATCCCTGCATGTCCCCGGTCGGCGACGGTGCAAGGCAGCGCGGCCCTCAGCCGGGCTTTTTGGCGCTGATGGTCGCCGGAGATGACCTTGGATGGCTGCAAGACCTAAGGGAGGGCAGAGTCATGGCGAGCTATCTGGCAAAGCTTTAACATCTGAAATTGCACGGCTGGGTCGGAGCGGCCGATGGCAGGAGGTCTTGCAGCTCGCCACTAAGACATTATCAAGCAACTCAGCAGCTCATTCCCTACTTTTCTATACGTACGATTTGGAGCGGCGCGATCCGAAGCCAGACAATAAAGCCCTAAACCCTAAAACCACAAACTGTAGAATCCCTAAACCTTAAACTTCCCTTGAGACCCTAGCATCACTAGACTATTAGAAGCACCTAGCTCTAGGTGAAGGCGGTTTGCGGCCCAATGTCATCTCCATGAACGCAGCCCTGGCTGCCTTTTGCCGAAGCAGAGCCTGGCGATGGTCCCTGGCTCTTCTGGGAGTTTTGGAGACCAGGGGTCTGGACCCCGATGCAGTGACTGGGTACCTGTGTTAGGGGATTTTCTAGGGGTTTCGTTGGATTTTATAGGGTTTGTTGAAATGTTCTGTTAGGGTTTGGGATTGAGGATTCGCCTTAAGGCATATAGGGTTTCTGAGTAGTAGTTCCTGCAGTTTTGCTGCCAACCAGAAGGCTTTGGGTCCTAGGCTAGATGCGCTTGCATTGCTTCAGCCCACTGTCGTCGGCGCGCACGTTTGTCTGTCTGTGTGTGTGCGAGCCGAACTGCACGTTTAGTTTTTGCAGTCTTACTCGAGTTGGTGGCTGGCACAGGCACGCCGGCTTCTTAGGAAGCTCTGATACGCTCCTGTACAGCCCTTCCAATGTCTTGGGCTCTGTAAGGTGACTTGTGGTTCAGCGATCCATGCCTGCGGCATTGGGATGCTGGGCTTTGGTTAAGGACAGTTCTTTGAGTTGCCATGCTCAGGCTCTACAGGGCTTTGCACGGCGCTATGCGTGCCAGGGTGTTTTGTGGGCTTGTTGTCAAGGGCCCTATAGATTGAGTTGCCATAATCAGGGATTGATAGGTCTTCGTGGTGGCATCGTAAACCTTACAGAAACTGGTTGAATCGCCATAAGAAGGGTTTTAGTCTGAAGGTTTAGTGTTTAAGTGTAGGGTTTTGCTGCGCTTTGACTTACCGCAACAATGCTTTTATGAGAGTAGAAAATTTACATCATAAGGGTGTTTATGAGCACGAACCTGCCGTAAGTTATGATACAGGCTGTGAGAAGGTAAGTAAAGTTGTATATTCAATTTCATGCTGCATTGATCCGAAGTAATGCCAGCTTTGTGGGTCTTCAGAAACTCAAGTCAAGTTACCCTGGAAGAGAAGATATGTTAATCACAACGACTGCATCTCCATTATGGCAGCACTTAGCTGCGTTCCCTTACAATTCCGAAACCTCGATCGATTCTACAAAGCCCTTTTTTAGAGCCCTTCTAAACGCCGTATTTTATGGCAAGTGAAGCCAAGTTCCGTAATAAGCCCTAAACCCTACAGTAGAAGAGCTCAGGAACTCGTGGCCGACCTCCATGGCACTACTGCGGAGGATGAAGACCTTGAACGCAGAGCCCAGCATCTGGCCTATCCAAAGGTTCAAGATGCAAGTGCATTATAGAGAGTTATGTGTTTAGGGTTTGGGATTTAGGGTTTCCGTTTTGGGGCCTAGGGTTCCGGGTGTGGGATGCTGCGTTTTGGGGGCCTATACGGATTTAAAGTAGAGAAGCCCAGTCCCCTATTCTTCGCTAGAGTGTAGAACCCTTACCCACAGGATCCATAGTACTTCCTTTTTGGGATTACCTGATAGGATCCTACATAGAAGCCAGAAAATGGAACTATAATGGAGTGTCATCTGTGCCGCCATCATCCGGTGCCCTACGCCCTGCCTGCAGACTCAAGGTGCCCATGGGTATACACTGCCAGCCCTAAACACTACGATTCAATACCCTCTTTTCTCGCGCTCGAAACTCTAGCTTGTATAGACTCCCAAGGAAGGCTTGAAGCGGTCCTAAGATGGGTCCCAAAATTGTATGCTAGGCCCGAAGTCCCTGCAGGTCTAAATTTGTCCTAGACACCTCCTCCCTAAAACTCCAAGGTTTATTGTTTATTCTAAACCAAGGGCTTTAGGAGTCTAGGAGTTTATGGTTTAGGGTCTTTGGGTTTTTACGGTTTAGGGTCTTAAGTCCCTAAAGCCCGAAATAAACCCTAAACACACATTCCTCGATTCGAAGGACCCCTTTTTTGGTTCGCTTATTTTCGAAGTTCATCTATGCATGCGGACACGAGATTTGGGGTTTAGAATTTAGGCTTTCAGGGTTTTAGGGCTTAGGGTTTGGGATTTGGGGTTTAGGGTTTGGGTTTTAGTCGAAAGCTTAGAATAGAATAGCAGATTCTCTACAGAGTTTTGCGGGGGGGGTGATTTGTAGTGTTTAGTTTAGGCTTGGATTTGTAGTCTGCAGCATTTTCCTACCAAGCTGAAATCCTTATTGACGGAATTTGGGCTGATCATCCAGGGCTGTACTTTATGGCTGCAGGGATATGTAATTGATTGTCGATCCTACAAACTCGACGTCTCGGCCGTAAGCCACATAAGCCCCAGTATAAATGGCGGAATGCTCCACAAAACTAGCCCTACCGGTTCCCTATGTGATGAAAATATCAAACTACCCTCCAATTCCTACACTTCGACTCCACCAGGCACGACCACGCTGAACGAGGCCCTCAACGCTTTGCAGTTTGACACCCCCAACTGGCAAACTGGACTAGCATCTTGCTTGAAGCTGCAGGGCCTGTCAAAGGGGCTTGCAGAACTAGTATAGAATACCATCTCCTATAGAGGACCCCAGCACCTTATTCTAATTGTTAAGGCCCCTATGTTATGTAAACCCTAGCTCTTGTGGGAGGTCTACAGTCTGGACGTAATGCATAGCACGTACTCCTGCGCCGCCTGTTTAGGGATTTAGGGTTTAGGGTTTAGGGGTTTAGGATGAAAGTGCAGCATTAGCGAGCCCAAACTTGTAGCAATGACACGTTGAATGAGCGCTCCCGGGCTGATAGCCTGAACCCCGCACCCCGCCGAAACCCTACCTGCAGGCCAAAATGACTTACCTTCTTTTTGATGCTCCTTATCATGGCGTCTTTATACAAATACATAAAAAACGGCGGGTTGATTGGGGGTTACAGGTATAAAATTAATATGTAGACCAAACCTCAAGCAACTAAAGACAAAAGCTGTCTGAAACAGTAAGAGCAACAAGCAGATAGCCACTGAATCAAAAAGCCCGCAAGAACTCCAAGGAGTTAGCAGAGCGCATAGCTACGGAGGGGCTCCGACCGGATGTTATCACGCGGGGTAGCTTGGCCTCTGCCAGCGGGCACAGATGGGCTGAGGCCCTGAATTTGTTCCTTCGCTGCTTCAGGACTGGATTCTTGCTTTGCTCGTTAAGGGCTCAGGGTTTAGGGTTTAGGAACAAATTCAAGCGAGAGTCGAGATCCCAGGCCCTGATCAAGGCCTAAACTTTTTCTTGCGGTTGAGGTTGCGATCCGAACGGACCTTCCGGAACCCTTGGAATAATTAGGGGTACATGTAACCACCAACAAACCATGTTTTCCAGCACATGCGAAAAAATAAGAAGGCACTTAAACAAAGGTCGGGTTTTTGAGGAAGGGCTCCAAGTGGGCGTGACGGCCTAAAGTTTATCAGAGTTGGGCCCAAGAATGTGATGTTGGAGGGAGGAAACCCTAAACCCTTTAGGGTTTTAGGGTTTAGGGTTTAGGGTTTAGGGTGCCTCAACCCTTTCAGTTTAGAGCCACCACCAGCTGTGGCTTTCGGGCTCTCGCCCCTTCGCAAAAAGTGTGCCCTGAAAACACCCCGTAAAGCCTGAACACTATGCTGTCTGTATATACTTACAACTACCCAAGGCATAAAGCTCAACCAAAGCACCAAAGTCCCTATACCCAAGGGTTATACCCTCAAGGCTGGACCCTAAACCCCTAAACCCTAAACCCCTGAACCATAAACCCTAAATTCTTAAACCCCTAAACCCCAAAAACCCTAAACCCCAAAAACCCTAAACCCCTAAACCCTAAAAGCCCTAAACCCCTAAACCCCAACTCATCAGGTTTCGAAGCATGGGGGGCGCTGCAGCCTTGAGCACGGCACTGGTGGGTGGCATCTTGGTCGGTGGATTCCTTTTCCCTGAAAGTCCATGTACTCGTAGAGTATATACATTGGCCCCAGAGTACTTATATTATATAGGGTCTACTTTAAGGCCAAAGTATGTACTATTTGGGTACATGGACCCTAGGGTTTTGTGGTTTGAATAATTCTTAATGCTAAAGCCTAAAACCTGTTTTTTTTGGTGCAGGTTCGTATTAGTTACCTAATATGGGATTTGTAGGGACCCTACAAAAAGTAGGTTCTGGTGGGTGAAGGTAGGGATGTGGTTTGGGTAGTTACTCTTCTTCCTAACATTGCCGCTTGGATAGCTTAGGCCCTAAGTCTGTGGTGTGGCTACGCTAAACCCTAACTGCGTGGATTGGGTGCCCTAGACCCGGAAAGCGTTTGTCTCCTCCCTTTCTCATCGTCTCCAAACAGCCGAAAGTAGGTACCAGGCAGTAGACCTTGAAGAGATGAAGTCGTTCTCATTTGTATTCTTGCAGCTAATTGAAAAATCGGGACTTAGGTATCATTTCCAGCTGCACCGCTGCTTTGCGCTGGCATCGCGCCATGGAGTCCCTTCTCCATTTGCGTCAGGTGCCTGCGGCTTCACTAGGTTTCTAAGGCTATACAGCAATGCTGATTATAGGGCGTGCTACGAAATCAAAAGTCAGTAGGGTTACCAAGGCTTAGTACTAGTTGTAGGGTTTAAGTTTACAAATCATGGGTACCTCATATAATGGGGGTCATCAAAAATACGGATCTTCCTTTTGGATTCTACATTGACGTCCCTTTTCTTTGTTGACACTCCGGTCTTTTGGGGATTTAGGGATTTAGGGGCGTCAGCTAGGGTTTGACTACTGTCTTTTTGGGGTCGACGGGGTTTTAGATATCTTCCCCGACATTTTTGCAGCGGAGGATGGGTACTGACCAGAAGACAGATCCCTGTATCAAGCCAGGTGGAAGCTGGTGCTGGGGTCAGCGGGAGCTTGGTGATTTGCCGTGGATCGGTCCTGAACCTAGGCGTTTGTTAGACATCTTTATTCAGGTAATTGTATGTGCTGGTGCCGAAACTAGGCTCCTTGGCGTAATTTTGCATCCGAACATATTTGTTCTCAGAGTTTCACATTTTATATTTTGGACTTTCAATGCTAATTTTTTGAATCACCAAATGCCTAGCAAGAACCCAGGAAATCTCTAGCACGGAGCTTCCGTTGGGAGCTTTGCTGTGCCGAGCTCCTGGAGATGTGGCGCCGATGCCGCAGCCAGGCGCGCGGCTAAGGGTTTCATAACGGGGCCTGGCCATTCGGGAGTTTCCGAAAATAAGGGCCTATAGTCTCCATTGTAGTTCCTTTTTTTAATTTGGTTTAACCAATTATATATTAAGGATTTTATAAGGTATCCCCAAAAAGGAACTACAATGGAGACTACAGGGGGTACCGGATTTTGGGCTCCTTATAATAAGGGTCCTACTAGTTAGGGTACTATATAAGGGCCCCCTATTTTCGGAAACCCGCATTCTGAAGGTTCGAACAGTGCTAGTGATTGCCTCCTCAAAACCCTAGTCAGCTTGTTCGGGCTTCTATACTGAGGGCTTGACACATCATCAGCATATAAGTGGTTCATATTCCTTAGAATTCATACACATGTCGTTGGTTGATGGAATGATCAAGCACTTAGGTAAGACTTGGAGCTGTTGGGTCTGTTGTAAGGTTGTGGAAAGTGCTTATCTAAGCTCTGTTCTGGGTTTGGGTTTAGGCTTTGGGCTAGGGTCCGGTAGCAACGACACCAAAGATCAACGACAAAGAACTACATTGGACAGGTCGTGCATAAAGCCGCCCCTGCAGATCAAATAAGTACTCCCAGTGCCAGATACTTCAACCGCCCTAAACCCTAAACCCTAAACCCTAAACCCTAAACCGTGAACTTCAACCCCGAAGCCCCCAAGCCTCTGAACTCCAAACCCCGGAAGCGCTCGAAGCTGAAAGCCCAAAGCCTGAATGCCTCAACAACGCTGAAGCCCAAAATCCCTCAAAAGGGTAAAACCCAAACCCCAAAGTCGCTGAACTCTTATAAACTCCTAACCATCTACCTATAGTCTCCATTGTAGTTTCTTTTTTGGGTTTGACCATTGACCAAAAATAGGTTATATTTAATATGGATTTTATAGGGTATCCCCAAAAAGGAACTACAATGGAGACTACAGGTAACCCCCAGACAGGAACCTCGCTCTTCTGCGGAGCCTCCACCTGACCTGTCGCCCGGTCATGCACTAAACCAGACAGTACTGCATTGCACTGGACTAGATTTGCATATATTTGCATTTTTCGTTGTGCGCTTTACAAGACTATGGTACACTGTCAGTCTACTGTCTTTTTTGGTTTACGTCCCTTCTTTGGCAACATAAGAGGGTTCTCTAGGTTATCAAACTGAACGAAGACCAGTGTTCTATGATGGACCTTAGTGCGAAGGGTGTTCAATGAGGTTTCCTTCTGTCGGGTTGAAGAAGGGTTTCATAGCTCGGCGCATTGTCTTCGATGAAACTTTGTCATGCACCAGCGTTTATTATGGGTTTGCGTTAGGGTTTTCCCGGATTGTGTATGGTAAGGGCGTCTGGAGCTGTATAAGCGGCCAATATATAAGTTTTTCTTTTTGTCTGAAGGTTCTTTTCAGGTATCGGGAGGCCCTTTGCCCGGTTCGGATGAAGATGCGAGTGTCAAGTTCAAGTAATCTGGACCTCTAGGAAGAAGCCCCTGCTCCTGATACCTACTGTACACCCTAAACCTTATGCAAGTCTGCCGTAGACCCAGAACGTTCGCAGCCCCAGAAGCAGAAGCCCGTATCATTTTATTACTTATGCATAGGTCTCGCGAGCCTAGGCAATCCAACACCTCCTCTATAAGAAGTATATATCGATAGCTTCAGTTCTGCTAAAACCTTTGTTTGCTGTCACGCAAAGTCCTTTGGCTTCTAAAAACCTCTACGGAACCACACTATTCACAAATATGCAGAGACCGTTCTAGCCAAGAGCACAGGGCCAGCAAGAACCCTATAAGAATCACGAATATGTTATTGCGCTTTGAAGCTGATTGCACCTTCGCAACACCTTACAAAACCCAACCACAAATCCCGTTCAAATGACATATCTAAAGCAGAACCAAGCTCCCTAACCCTAAACCCTAAACTGATCGGAAAATGCCCCCAGGTGGGCCCACAACGTGTGCATCAGCGCCTGTGAGCTCAGCGGCCGCTGGCGGCAGGCGCTGCTCCTCGGCTCCGGTGCTGTCGTCAGTTTTTGTTGTTAGGGTTTAGGG